AGGACTCTTTGATAACGTCATCTTAACTTCAACCCTTAGAGTAGAGCCAACCTTGTACATATAGTGAGCTATAGTACCTTCCAAAATTATGACAGGATGCTCTCCCATTTCTAGGAGGTATGATCCCGCTTGTTTTAATAGTGAAGCCCTAAATCATTTAAAAGCTAGGATAGGGTAACCCTAACCCTCATAAGGGTGTTTGTTCTCTTTCCTGCTATGTGCTATGTGCAATGTATGGGATCAATATAGGGATTCTCAGATTTAGATAAATGGTTCAGGCATTTTAGTTTATGGGGTTGAGTTCAGTTTTTCAGCATGATTTAGCAATAATTAGTTGAGTTGGCATGTTGCTGAAATTTTGATTAGGGGTTCCGTTTTATTTTTGCAAGGTAGTGTGGCACCATAGCTTCAAAATGGTCTGATATCCCTCAAGTTCTATGGCCTCGCATTGGTAGGCTCTGTAAGATTGCAGATTTGGTTCAAGGACAACCAGTGTTAGTTTCTTTATTACCAGCTACACGAAGAAAAAGAGCGAAAACCTTATCAACTATCCAGAGTACCCCTTCCTCAGTGATGGCTCAGGTTCCAAAAAATATAATGGACATGTTGTTGGCTCTTCAACGAATTATGGATGCTCTTTCCAATACAGTTGCCACCATAGTAATGCTCTTGTTGAATTGCGACGCCCATCTAAGGCATCTGCTACTCAACCACCTCCGATGATTCATCAAATCCCACCTCCACTAGCTAAGAAATTTCTTGAACCTGTAGACGTCCCCGAACGCCCCGGGAGGAACGAGCTCCCGTTCTGTTCATTTTGGGGTCACTACAGCTCAGGACTCTCAAATTTGTCACGGTTCTAAGTCTGAACCAAAGAGTCCAAATCCGGCAAATCGTTTTGAGAAAAGGCCCCAGTGTCCCTCAAAAGGGAGAAAATAAGATGTATGCCAAAAATCAGAGCAAATGGAGATGGTTAAGCGGTCCCGAACCGAGGCACACGGCCTGACGGTCCCGGAAAACCGGAAACCGGGCTCCGAAATGGGCAAAATGGCCTACGGCCACAGAATGTAGCCCACGGCCACTGAGAGATGGTCTACAGGACCTCTCCCTCCCCTCAGGAAAAGAAACAGAGAAAACCGAGTCTGGTTCGCAAACCGAGGCAAGGCACAGAAGAGGGTTCGGAAGTCCGGAGGCAGGGCGCACGGCCGTGACTCTGAAACTTCTGAACGAGCATAATATGTAGCATCACCGAGCGCTCAACTGGTGACGTCTAAGTCTTAAGGTCGGTCAAAAATGGGGTGTCTACAGAACCCAACTTACCAAAAGACTTAAGGGTTCCTGCCCAATCATTAGGAGGACTTTTTCCCTTTCCACAACCAACAAGAGGGCTCTTTCCCCTAGAAACGAATGAATTTGATCCGACTATGCTAAAACTAGTCAAGTTGGAGAAAATGTTTAAAAGGTCACAAGGAATTAACTCTATCCTAGACATCAAAGATGGGTATACTAAAATAGTTGTCAAGTTGCCTGAACAATTTATGATGCCACAGATTGATAGATTAGATGGTTTTAGTGACCTTATGGTACGTATTCGCTTATTTTTTGATGTTCTAAAGCTTATGGATTTGACTCGTCCACAAAAGTTATCTCTATTTGGACGAACTTTGTTAAGAGTGGCTGCCATCTGGTATGCCAGGCTAGAAGGTTCAGTAAAACATAGTTGGGAAGAATTGGCTGAGGCTGTCATCACCCAATATGCTTATAACACTCAGATTGAAGTAACCACTCGGGAGTTAGAAGCAACTCGACAGGAACCAAATAAAGGTTTTGTAGACTTCATTACCAGATAGAGGGCCAAGGCGGCGATGATGACTAACAGACCACCGGAGAAAGATCAAATCTGCATGGAAGTAAGAAATCTACGCAGAAAAATGTTGTAGAAAATGATAGTTCTTCCACTTTTCACTTTCAAAGAGGTGCATGAAATGAGAGTTCAGATATAGGATGTCATTAAGTAGGGAATTATAGTGGATGATAAAAAGCTGGTATGAAAGACCTTTGGCTGTAATCCAAACACTGCCACCAGCAGTAACAAGGCATAGAAATCTTCTAAGGTTAACTCAGTCACTACCACCACCACCACCAGAATAGCCAACCCCTTTGCCAACGCGGTCCACAAACAACAAACTCAGCCCGAGCCTTAACTAGAACCTTCAACCCACTCCATATGTCCCTTACCAAAGCCATGAAGATCTTGGTAGAAAAAAGGGTATTTCAAACCTCTTGGCCCACGACCTCTTCCAACCAAACATGACCCTACCAAATAATGTGCCTTCTATCAATAGCCTGGACACGATATCGACCATTGTTTCTATCTTTATCATGAGATTCAAGATCTCATTGACAATAAAGTCATAACTCCCCCACAGCCACCAAAACCCAATCTCACTACTAACCTATTGCCACTCTATGACAAAGTCCCACCACCTCTTCGTCTTAACTTTATCCATACATTAGCGCCCACTTTTGACCCCAACATCTATATCACACCATCTCATCTACCTAAACCCGAGGTACACATTTCTAAGAGCACTAATCTATGCATGATGACCTCTAACCCATCTAAAACTCGAGAACCCTATGGTAGTAGTAGTAAAAGCCAAAGAGGAAACAACTGAAGTGTTTGTGATTGAGGCTAGGAAACTACCAGAGGAAGGATATGATTCTAGCAAGTGTATTGTACCCATTGATCAACTGAAGCCTGAGGTTGTTCTTCCTAACTTATTTTCTATCGATTTTGTTAGAGAAAATGTACCTAAATAGGGGTTTGATGACTTGGCCGGCCCAGAGTAGAACTTGGCCAATTTCTAGTCCTTTGAAGAATTAGACCTTAGGAATGTGCAGATAGGATGGTGGGATCCAAGAAATTCCAATGTCAGTCATGGTTGGTCAAGTAGTGGTGAATTTTCAAATGACGAAATCGAGAGAAAATGGGATGAACTAAAAATCAACACCCGAAAATCTAAAGACTACAGTAAAAGAAAGGGTTCCAGAGAGAAAGAAGAAGAATCAGAAAGCCAACCAGAGTACACCGTGGGGATGATTCGAGTAGAGCCTGATAATTGCCTTTTGGTCCACGAAGGCAAATGGTGGGATGATAACAACCTGCAGCTCGCCCATATTGACAATGAATGGATGAGCAATGTGCCTGGCGAGACTTGGTACTCAGAAGAAATTGATCATTTGACTAGGAATGGGCACTACTTCGAGCCCCCATACCTAGACCAAGGAGAGTCCTCGGGCAAAGACAAAAAAATTGAGAAAAAGAAAGAAGTGGAAGAAGTCCTGGTTCTAAAATAGTTAAAAATAATCCAGGCAAATGTCTCCATCTAGGGGCTTCTCATGGCTTCCCAAGAGCACCGATAAGTGATGTTGTCAGCTTTAAACAAGGCGAAGCTGCAAATTGACTCAACCCCAGAACAACTTGTGTCACTAATCACCCTAAGAGAAATAGTCCCTACAATAACCTTTGTCGACAAAGAATTACCACCAAAGGGATCAGAACACAATAAGCCTCTGTATGTGTCACTGAAGTGTAGAAAGAAATGGATCCCAATTGTTTTGATTGATACTGGATCGGCTATCAATGTTTGCCTTTTGCACACTGCTTATGCGATAGAGCTAAAGCCGTCATATTTCACACCCACTACTCAGTTGATCCAGGCTTATGATAATACTAGTCGGGAAGTTATGGTGATAGTCAAAATGCAAATAACAGTGGGTCTATCTGAGCACAAAGCAAAATTTCATGTTATAGATATCCCTACAACATTTAACTTGCTATTGGGAAGGCCCTAGCTCCATTAGATGAAAGCTGTATCATCCACAATGCATCAATTGGTAAAATACCCATAGACGGAGTAATTGTCACTGTCTTTGGAAATTCATCCACTCATCCTCCCCCAGAAGTCACAACGTCGCTGCTAGAAATACAACATAGGGAGGAGGATGTGTTCCTCTCAAGCTTTACATTGGTAGAGGCCCAGCTAGTTCAAACACTCATGACAGAAGACGAAGGTGTATACATTAGTGCCCAATCAATCTGCTTCATAAGTAAACTGGTTAACATTCTTGAGATGGGATTAGGACAAAGTGGCAAGAAGGGTATTGCTACAGCTGGTGAAATACCTCATAACCCGCATGCATTTGGACTAGGGTATGCACCTACAGCAGATGACTGGAAAAGGAAAAGTGAAGAGATCAAGGAGAGGATCAAGGCAAAGATAACCAAGCGATAGTTTGAGTTGGTCTATAAGCCAATTCGTGGAACTTTAAACGGGCTCTTTGTTCGGGAAGGAGAGGATTTCCCTTTTTGTGGGTTTTAGGAGCCATGGATTGACCAGGAGGAAAAGAAGAGATATCCCGAGTTTGAAATCTTTTTCGATCATTAGCTTTCTGATAGCGATGAGGAACAAGCAGATCAAAGTATCGTCATTGGTCAATACAGTGATGTCAATTCTAAAAGCGATACAGAGGACGTCCTGGGTCTAACATTGGTTGATTTGTTGAAAGAGTCTGATACTAGTGTTGAACCAATGAACATAGGGGATATGAATATTTCTATGATTAGAAAAGGACTACCTGTCAACTGCTCAAGCTTTATCATGGATGCAGTAAATGGCATGCGAGCAAATTGGCATGTTAAAAAATGTTTTATTGAGAATTCTGAATTGGTTATTGAGTATGAGTCCGTTGGGTTTGTGGGGTTTGAGTCAGTTTTTTTTTTTTTTTTTTTTTTGGGTAAGTAAGTCATAAATAAAAACAAAGAGCTAACACAACATACAAGGGGCATGCCCCAGGCCCTACCCATAACTATACTTCAGAAGAAGAAAAAAAATAAATAAATAAAATAAAATAAGCAACAACAGACCTAACCAAAGACACTAATGGCTATACACAAATACCAAACAACTAACAAACTAAACATCTCACAAATAATTTTACAATAAACCAACGGCAGCAACCAGCACCATAAAGAGACGTATTCTTGGAACCTAGCATAAGAACCGAGAACACTATCACAGCATAAATGGTCACCTCGGAGAACAAAACATCCCTTGCACATCCCACAAGGGTAGACACCTAAATACACTAATAAACACAACCTATAGACAATTAAATATATAGGAAATAAAACACATTTCTTGACACCATCGGCGCTCCCAGCAGCCAACAACTTGTTTCCATGCTTTCGAATTTTAGTGATTCCCCATTTTACAGCCGCATAATGTATTAAACCGTGCTTCCATTGATTAGGGGAGCCTCGCACAATCCTACATCCACAAACCGTGTCCCTATTGTTCCAATAAGAACAGCTCACATCACTCAACACACAATTTAGATTCTCACTCCACTCAAAAAACTTCAGATCCATGTACCTGCAAAACAGAGGAAGATTAATAGACATGAATATATAACAAACACTCAATATGGCTAGTAGAAATGGGGTATGGATATTTGTGTATCTCCCATAACACTCAACCCACTGAGATTGGTTATTATCACTCACAGTTAGCAGTTCCATCTTATCCATGTACCTACAAAATGAGCAAACCATTAAGAAAACACTCAATTTGTGCTACCATCACTCAACCCACAATTTACTAAACTCTCAACTCCCATTCCATTTGTTGTTGCTTTCAGCACAGTGTTAGGCAGCCTCCAGGAACTCAAAAACCAACTGTCACTAGGATGCAATTTGAGGTTAGTAATAGACATTACTCGAAATCTAATCATATCCCCAATGCCTTTAATCACAATCTCTTCAGGAATCTTTTCCTTTCTAAATATGAAATTGTTCCTAACAATCCAAAGCTGATACACAGTACAAGCAAATGCAAGTCTTGTGACCACAGCACTAAGAGATTTACCTTTGACCGTTTTAGAAACCAACTGAACAATGTCAAGCCATAGGAGATGGGGCCAATTCACATTAAGTTTCCCTTTAATACTCTCCCAAACTCGACTAGAGAAGGGACAATCAAAGAATAAATGGTTATGATCCTCATAAGGGTCATTACACAAAACACACATAGAGGTTTGAGATATACAAAACAGTTTAAGCCTATCCCCTGTGTTTAATCTCCCCAAAATAGCCATCCAAGTAACCATACTTGCCTTAGGGATATTATGAGGACCCTACAGTAGCTTCTCCCAAGAAACTTTAGTAAAAGATTTCCTGAACCAATTCCAAGTTTAATTTATAGAAAACTTACCATCAGAAGACGACACCCAAATAACAGTATCATTACCAGAGTTGGGAGTAAACGTAAGCGGAGTGTGCTCAATCAACTCCTGTAAGAAGCTCCTCCTTCTCCTAGGCCAACTCCAAGAACGATTATTAACAATCCTACTAACCTTAGCATCCATCCCAAAGGCAGTATCATAGACAACTCTAGCACCAAACCTCCCCCACAAAGATCCAAGAGGATGCCAATTGTCAAACCATAAGAAAACATCACCCCCATTCCCAATTTTGTGCAAAATCAAAGGGTAAATGACAGGACGAAGGGATAGAATTTTCCTCCAGACCCAAGAAGGGTCACTAGGCATTTTAACCCTCCATAGACTCTGACCTTTAAGTAAATAGGATTTCACCCACTGGCACCACATAGACTGCTCTCCTCCGAAGAAAAGAAACCAGATATGCTTGGCCACTGCAGCTTTGTTCCACACCTCTATGGATTTAAAACCAAGACCCCCTTCAGATTTGAGGGAGCAGACATGCTCCCAAGACACTTTAGCCCCATATTTCCTAAGCTCACAACTAGACCAAAAGAAAGATCTAAAGAGACTCTCAATAGATTTGACAACCTTCTTTGGGAGGATAAACAACGAGAACCAATACACTTGCATCGAGAAGAGAATGGATTGAATCAATTGAGCTCTACCAGCATATGTAAGACATTTGTTAGTCCAACTCTTGATTCTATTTGTAATTCTCTCGACAAGTTTGTCGCAATCACTAGATTTCAACTTAGTTAAGATTAAAGGAACACCTAGATATCTCACCGGTAATACACCCTCATTAAACTTGATGACATTAAGAAGCTCGACACGCAAATTCTTCTCACACCCCGAGAAAAAAATATGACTCTTATGGGGACTTGGAGACAACCCAGATAGGCTTTGGAATTCATCTAACCCTTCCTTAATTACCGAAACAGTAAACACATCCCCTTTGCAGAAAATCATAAGGTCATCTGTAAAACACAGATTCATAATTTTAGTTTTATCACACCTCCAATGGAACTTAAAATCAGGATGGGTAGATTTTTCAGCTAGAAATTTGGAAAGAATCTCCATCACCATAACAAAAAGATAAGGGGACATGGGGCCACCTTGTCTCAGACCCCAAGCCCCTTTAAAGTACCCATGAAGGCTCCCATTGATACATATGGAGAAAGAAGGACTTGTAATACAAGCCTTAACTCAACAAATGATATTTGGAGGGAAACCCATAGCTCTAAGGACATCAAGAACACAATCCCACCTAACATTATCATAAGCTTTCATTATGTCAACTTTCATTGCAAATCTTGGGGTAGGAGAATTTTTGTGATAGCCTCTCATAAGCTCTTGGGACAAGAAAATATTGTCCGAGATTCTCCTACCATGGACAAAAGCTGATTGCACAGGGTCAATGAGGTTAGGTAAGACAACATTAATCCTATCAGCTATGATCTTAGAGATGCATTTGTACAAAGTGTTACAGCAAGATATAGGCCTAAAGTCACCAACTTTCTCAGCATTAGGAGTTTTGGAAATAAGGGCTATTGTTGTGTTATTGACAGCTTGGAGAAGCTCACTAGACCGAAAGAATGATTTGACAGCTACCATAACCTCCTTTCCCACAACCTCCCAAGACTTCTTGAAAAAACCAGCAGAATAACCATCAGGGCCAGAGGCTTTGTTAGGTTTAAGAGAATTGAAAGCATCAATAATCTCCTTATCAGAGACCTCCCTAGCAAGATCATTGAACTGATCCACAGACACCCTCTTATTGACAAGTTGGGTAATTCTATCATAGCCATCATAATTATCAGAGAACGGTTTCCCAAAAAGATCAGTGAAGGAATTCACAAATGTGGCACAAATCTCTTCCCTTTTTGTCACCCTAACACCATCATTCAACACAACACTCTGGATCCTACCCTTGTTAATATTTCCCTTAATAGTTCTAAAGAAGAATTTGGAATTCTTATCCCCATAACCCAACCACTGGACTCTAGACTTTTGATGTGCAAGTCTTTCCTCCACACTACTGAGATCCACATACTTTGCATAGGCCACCCTCTCATGGGTTTGAAGATCACCATTGAGAGGGTCTTTGTCAAGTTTGATTTGAGCACTAACAAGTTGGTCCTTAGCATGGGACACTCTAGTAGATATATCACTAAACTTTTTTTATTTAGATTTTTCAAGATAGGCTTGAGGGTTCTCAGCTTTCGGCAAACCCTAAACATAGGGGACCCCTTGATGTATTTCCTCCACACCCCATCAACTTTCTGAATGAAATCGGGATGATCAGCCCAGAAATCAAAGAATTTAAATGGTTTCCTAAAGTTAGATACTTTAGGATCCAAAGTGATTACAGCCGGAGAATGGTCAGAGACCCCCCAAGGCAAGAAGAGGGCAGAAGAGTTAGGGTAACTCGTAAGCCACTTCTCATTCACAAGAGCTCTATCAATCTTGGATGGGATATATGCTCCCTCACTTCTTTTGTTGGACCAAGTAAATTGGCACCCAGTATAAGACAAATCCTCAAGGTCAGCATCAAGAATCATATTATTAAACAACTCCTTAGAACTATTCCAGCTGGCATTACCACCCAATTTTTCATAAGAGAATCTAACAGCATTGAAGTCACCAAGGCATATTAAAGGAGAACTCGCATGATTCTTAACTAAAGAGCAAATTTCAGCAAAACAGGGCAATCTCAGCACATGTTCATTTTCAGGGTATACAAAAATAGCAAAGAAACTAGTATCCCCTTCCAAAATAGTAACCCTACAAAAAACAAATTGAGCTGCCATCCCGATGCTAACAATATTACAAAAATTAGGATCCCAACATATCCAAATTCTAGCAGCTCTATCTGGTTGTGAATTAGACAAAAGATTCCAGTTTTTCAAGCTTTTTTCAAAAATTTTAGCTTCATTTTCAGATTTCATTTTTGTCTCCAAAAGACTCATGATTTTGATATTCTCTTTGTGCACAAGATCAAAAACTTCTTTATGCTTAGATGGGTCATTCAACCCTCTAACATTCCAAGACGCAATTTTTATAGACATGAGATATAACAAAAAAAACACAACCAGAACCCAAAATAGACTATTTACCTTTCTTCTTCTTCTGGCTTCCAGATTTGCCAGAAGATTACAGTATCATTACCAGAGTTGGGAGTAAACGTAAGCGGGGTGTGCTCAATCAACTCCTGTAAGAAGCTCCTCCTTCTCCTGGGCCAACTCCAAGAACGATTATTAACAATCCTACTAACCTTAGCATTCATCCCAAAGGCAGTATCATAGACAACTCTAGCACCAAACCTCGCCCACAAAGATCCAAGAGGTTGCCAATTGTCAAACCATAAGAAAACATCACCCCCATTCCCAATTTTGTGCAAAATCAAAGGGTAAATGACAGGACGAAGGGATAGAATTTTCCTCCAGACCCAAGAAGGGTCACTAGGCATTTTAACCCTCCATAGACTTTGACCTTTAAGTAAATAGGATTTCACCCACTGGCACCACATAGACTGCTCTCCTCCGGAGAAAAGAAACCAGATATGCTTGGCCACTGCAGCTTTGTTCCACACCTCTATGAATTTAAAACCAAGACCCCCTTCAGATTTGGTGGAGCAGACATGCTCCCAAGACACTTTAGCCCCATATTTCCTAAGCTCACAACCAGACCAAAAGAAAGATCTAAAGAGACTCTCAATAGATTTGACAACCTACTTTGGAAGGATAAACAACGAGGACCAATACACTTGCATCAAGAAGAGAATGGATTGAATCAGTTGAGCTCTACCAGCATATGTAAGACATTTGTTAGTCCAACTCTTGATTCTATTTGTAATTCTCTCAACAAGTTTGTCGCAATCACTAGATTTCAACTTAGTTAAGATTAAAGGAACACCTAGATATCTCACCGGTAATACACCCTCATTAAACTTGACGACATTAAGAAGCTCAACACGCAAATTCTTCTCACACCAAGAGAAAAAAATATGACTCTTATGGGGACTTGGAGACAACCCAGATAGGCTTTGGAATTCATCTAATCCTTCCTTAATTACCGAAACAGTAAACACATCCCCTTTGTAGAAAATCATAAGGTCATCTGCAAAACACAGATTCACAATTTTAGTTTTATCACACCTCCAATGGAACTTAAAATCAGGATGGGTAGATTTTTCAGCTAGAATTTTGGAAAGAATCTCCATCGCCATAACAAAAAGATAAGGGGACATGGGGTCACCTTGTCTCAGACCCCAAGCCCCTTTAAAGTACCCATGAAGGCTCCCATTGATACATATGGAGAAAGAAGGAATTGTAATACAAGCCTTAACCCAACAAATGATATTTGGAGGGAAACCCATAGCTCTAAGGACATCAAAAACAAAATCCCACCTAACATTATCATAAGCTTTCATTATGTCAACTTTCATTGCACATCTTGGGGTAGGAGAATTTTTGTGATAGCCTCTCATAAGCTCTTGGGACAAGAAAATATTGTCCGAGATTCTCCTACCATGGACAAAAGCTTATTGCACAGGATCAATGAGGTCAGGTAAGACAACTTTAATCCTATCAGCTATGATCTTAGAGATGCATTTGTACAAAGTGTTACAGCAAGATATAGGCCTGAAGTCACCAACTTTCTCAGCATTAGGAGTTTTGGGAATAAGGGCTATTGTTGTGTTGTTGAGCGCTTGGAGAAGCTCACCAGACCGAAAGAATGATTTGACAGCTACCACAACCTCCTTTCCCACAACCTCCCAAGACTTCTTGAAAAACCAGCAGAATAACCATCAGGGCCAGGGGCTTTGTTAGGTTTAAGAGAATTGAAAGCATCAATAATCTCCTTATCAGAGACCTCCCTAGCAAGATCATTGAACTGATCCACAGACACCCTCTTATTGACAAGTTGGGTAATTCTATCATAGCCATCATAATTATCAGAGAACGGTTTCCCAAAAAGATCAGTGAAGGAATTCACAAATGTGGCACAAATCTCTTCACTTTTTGTCACCCTAACACCATCATTCAACACAACACTCTGGATCCTACCCTTGTTAATATTTCCCTTAATAGTTCAAGAGAAGAATTTGGAATTCTTATCCCCATAACCCAACCACTGGACTCTAGACTTTTGATGTGCAAGTCTTTCCTCCACACTACTGAGATCCACATACTTTGCATAGGTCACCCTCTCATAGGTTTGAAGATCACCATTGAGAGGGTCTTTGTCAAGTTTGATTTGAGCACTAACAAGTTGGTCCTTAGCATGGGACACTCTAGTAGATATATCACTAAACTCTTTTTTATTTAGATTTTTCAAGATAGGCTTGAGGGTTCTCAGCTTTTGGCAAACCCTAAACATAGGGGACCCCTTGATGTATTTCCTCCACACCTCATCAACTTTCTGAATGAAATCGGGATGATCGGCCGAGAAATCAAAGAATTTAAATGGTTTCCTAAAGTTAGATACTTTAGGATCCAAAGTGATTACAGCCGGAGAATGGTCAGAGACCCCCCAAGGCAGGAAGAGGGTAGAAGAGTTAGGGTAACTCGTAAGCCACTTCTCATTCACAAGAGCTCTATCAATCTTGGATGTGATACATGTTCCCTCACTTCTTTTGTTAGACCAAGTAAATTGGCACCCAGTATAAGACAAATCCTCAAGGTCAGCATCAAGAATCATATTATTAAACAACTCCTTAGAACTATTCCAGCTGGCATTACCACCCAGTTTTTCATAAGAGAATCTAACAGCATTGAAGTCGCCAAGGCATATTAAAGGAGAACTCACATGATTCTTAACTAAAGAGCAAATTTCGGCAAAACAGGGCAATCTTAGCACGTGTTCATTTTCAGCGTATACAAAAATAGCAAAAAAACTAGTATCCCCTTCCAAAATAGTAACCTTAAAAAAAAAAACAAACTGAGCTGCCATCCTGATGCTAACAATATTAAAAAACTTAGGATCCCAACATATCCAAATTCTAGCAGCTCTATCTGGTTGTGAATTAAACAAAAGATTTCAGTTTTTCATGCTTTTTTCAAAAAATTTAGCTTCATTTTCAGATTTCACTTTTGTCTCCAAAAGACTCATGATTTTGATATTCTCTTTGTGCACAAGATCAAAAACTTCTTTATGCTTAGATGGGTCATTCAATCCTCTAACATTCCAAGACGCAATTTTTATAGACATGAGATATAACAAAAAAACACAACCAGAACCCAAAATAGACTATTTGCCTTTCTTCTTCTTCTGGCTTCCAGATTTGTCAGAAGATTTGCTCTTTGAGGAATTCCCAGACGAATGTATGTTCTCCACCCTCTCCCCTTTGTTACTTGGAGTAGATTGCTTGCTCTCTACCTTTGATTCCACTTCTTTGAGTATGATTTCTGTAGCTGGATGGATCAATTTAGCAATATCCATGATATCAGAATGGAAGGCCTCAACTTCTTTTGTTGCCTTGGTTGTAATTTCATCCTCCAGCGATGCTACTTCTTTGGTAACAATATCTGTAGTTGAGTCTGTAGTTGTGACCACATCCTCCAAGTAGGTATTAACACAGTCCTCCTTGCCCGAATCCACCCTGCCTACATTTGATGAACTCGATACCTCAATCGGTGCCACAGACTCCATCTCCTAGGAAGGCTCACCTACCTTTCGTTTCCCTTTATTCTTCACAGTGGTCCAGCCAACTTCTTCCCTACTTAAGTTCTCCGTCTCTTTTTGCAACTCAATCAATTTGGACACTTGGGCAGAAAAACATTGTTTGGTTTCGTGGCCAAAAACATTACAATGGGCACATCTAGATGGAACCCCCTAATATTCAACTCGGATTTCAACAGAATCACCCTCGTTTGTCATGGAAAAACTATTTGGAAATAGAGAATCTGCTTGTATATTCACACAGACACGGGCAAAGGAAATACGATTTCCAGAAGCTGTAAGTTGGTCCATAAACAAAGGAGTGCCAACAGCGCTAGCCATCCTGCTTAGACCATCCCCATTTCAAAATTCCAATGGAATATTGTAGAACTTAGCCAACACAAGAATTGTATTTTTATCCTCCTTAGACAACCTCATCATACGATGCCATTGTTTTAGGATCAACAAAAAACTCCCAACATACCAAGGGCCACCATCAAGGATATTCCTACAACAATCTTTATTTTCAAACATAAAAAAAGCAAATCCATCATCATTCATTTTAACTTCTAATAAACCTTTGTTTCTCCACATATTGAAAGCACTGTTACTAACTAAGGTGTAAGGTAATCGCTTATCAATAAAATAACCAACCAAACATGCCTCTAATTTGGCAAGAGGAGATGAAGGTGGCATTTCCACCACAATCTTATCCTGGGACATTTTAGGAGGAAAGTACTGTAGTTTTACCTCAGATCTAATAGATGTCGATGCTATATTTGCCCAAGATCTAGATTCCTGTCTGTATGTACCTCTGTCTCCACGGACCCCTCTGCCATGACCTTGAAGGCCACCACGAAAACTTTTCCTAAAAGGTCCTGACTCTGTCTCCTTCTGTGACATAACATCCCCTTCTTGATTGCTAACTAGATCAACCTGCTCGTAATCAGCATTACAATCTAGAACTGCTCGATTCCCTTCATCATTGATCCCTACACCCTCTGATTCAGCCATGATAGTTGTCTGTATCTCATCTTGAACCCTAACCGATTGATTTTCCCCCAAATCTGGAAACATCGTTGTGATTTCAGATCGCGTTTCCTCGTCAGTGATTTCAAACCATTTAGGGTTCAGAGACAGCAGTGTCGTCAAGGCTTCACGGACCTCAGAGTCCAACACTGTCTTTGCCTTAAACATCTCAAGTCGATCGGAGAGCTCCTTGATGGATTCGACAATCACACCCTTCATCTTGATCTCACTCTGCTGCGCGATATTAACTAGGGTTTCCAACTCTTGCGTAGTAATACTCAAATTCTTCGGGCTATTTTCCCCATAAAGTTCATCAGTACATTTACCCACATCTTTAAAACTTGATGATCCAATATTCACATCCGACCCTACACCAGAAACATTAAGTTCGGAGTTAGAAGGAATGATTGCCATCCGAGATCTTGTTTGCAGTTCAACGAAGAATTGAATGCAGAAACCCTAGAAATGAAAAGTTTCTAGAGAGAATGAGGAGGTTCTCATTCGAACCCATACTTTTTATCTATTTTTTGTGAATATGGGTTCGAGTCAGATTTGAGTTTGTCTGAGATGTTAAGTCTTCTTTTGCTTTTTCTTTTTCTTTTGAGTCTGTTGCAACTGTTGAGTTCGAGATTCTAAATGAAGATGTTGTGATTTTTGTTTACTTCTCTGTGCCTATAGTTCATAACATTGATCAAAATTTTTAGAATTTTGATAAAATGAAGCGGAAGAAATTCCTTGGGATTTGAAAATTTTAATCAACTGGGAGGAAGAAAGGCGTGCTAAGCCATTAACCGACGAAATTGTTTCCATAAATGTGGGTACTAAGATAGATCCTTGCTTGGTCCAAATTGGTTCCACTTTATCTTCAGAGGAACATGAGCAATTTGTTGTTTTATTAAAATAATTCAAAAATGTTTTTGTGTGCTCCTATAAAGATATATCTGGAATTGATCCTGAGATTGTACAACATAAGATCTCTTTTAATCCCGAGGCCCGACCTGTCAAACAGAAGCTTCGCAGAATTCATCCAGATTGAGCATTGAAAATCAAAGAAGAGTTTACTAAACAAATCAATGTCGGGTTCTTGCTTGTATTAGAATATCCGACTTGGTTGGCCAGCACTGTGCTAGTTCCGAAGAAAGATGGCAAAACTAGGGTTTGCATTGACTTCTGAGATTTGAACAAAGCTAGTCCGAAAGAAGACTTTCCATTGCCATATATTGATGAATTGGTAGACTTCACTGTAGGGCATGCCATGCTATCATTTATGGATGGTTTTTTGGGGTATAATCAAATCCTTATGGCTCTAGAGGATAGAGAAAAGACTGCATTTACTACACCATAGGGGACATATTGCTATAAGGTCATGCCATGTGGTTTGAAAAATGTCAGGGCCACTTATCAGAGAGCCACTACCACACTGTTGCATGATATGATCCACAAGGAAGTTAAGGTGTATATGGATGACATGATTGTCAAGTCCAAAGATCGAGAAGGCCATTATATCGCATTGAAGAAATTCTTTGAGAGAATCAGGGAACACAAGCAGAGGTTAAATCCACAGAACTACACATTTGGGGTAACTGCAGGCAAGATGTTAGGATTTCTGATCACACAATAAGAAATTGAAGTTAATCTATCCAAATTTAAGGCCATCTTAGAAATGTCGCCACCAATGACTGAAAAGGAGATGAGGAGCTTTTTGGGCGAAGTGCAATTCATTAGGAGGTTTATTTCTAAATTAACCTGGACTTGTGACCCACTTTTTGGTTTGTTAAAGAAAGGAAAGAAGTTCCAATGGGATGATCAGTGTCAATTTCCCTTTGAGAAAGTTAAGCAGTATTTGCAGAATTCGCCTGTGTTATCGTCACCTAAGCCAAGAAAACTACTGATTTTGAATTTATCAGTGACTAAATAAACCAAGGGTTGTATGCTTGAGTAAGAGTCAGACGAGAAAGTGAAGAAAGCCATCTACTACTTGAGCAAGAAGATGTTTGAATATGAGATCCGCTACACTCCCTTGTAAAAGGCTTGCTTGGCTTTCATTTGGGCCACCAAGAAGTTGAGACACTACTTGTTAGCTCACTCGGTAATTCTAGTTTCAAGATTAGACCTTATCGAATATCTCTTTGAGAAACCAACGCTTACCGGTAGGCTAGCTCATTGGTTGCTTTTGCTTTCTGAATTCGACCTCAAGTATGTCGCTCGTAAATCTATTAAAGGAAAGGCCATGGTAGAATTTTTAGCTGATCACCCGATTGAAGGAGAATAAGATACGAATTATTCATTCCCAGATGAGGAAGTCATGCAGATGGAAGAAGACACTGGGAAGTTGTACTTTGATGGAGCATCCAATCAATTTGGCTATGGGATAGGTGTGTTGCTCATAGTGCCAAATGATTCCCATATCCCTTTAACTTTCAAACTTCGATTCAAGGTATATAACAACCAAGTAGAGTATGAGGCATGCATTACCGAACTGGAAGTCACTCTAGAACTAGGGGCAATAAGGTTGGATATGATTGGGGATTTGAACTTGGTCATCTCTCAATCCAATGGAGATTGGAAGGTTAAAGAGGAGAAAATGAAAGTTTATCATCAGACTTTAGACATGTTGATTCTGAGGTTCGAAAGACTGACATTTACACACCTGGTGAGAGAGAACAACCGATTTGATGATGCGTTGGCAACCCTGGCCTCCATAATAGATATACCAGTTGGGGTTAAGATGCATCCAATCCTGATAGAATAAAGATATACACCTACATATGAAATGGTAACTGCAACATAAGAAATTCAAGATAAAAACCCCAGGTACTTTGATATGTGAAACTTTTTGGAAAGCGGTACATACCTGCAAGGGGAAAATGCCAAGGACAAAAGGGAGATATGACGTCTGGCTGCTCAATTCATCATCTGAAGAGATAAGCTGTATAGAAGGGGGCATCTGGGAATGCATAAGTTGTGTGTAGAGGAAGAAGAGGCAAAGCGTATCATGGAAGCCATCCATGGAGGAGAGTGTGGAGCCCATATGAATGGAATAATGATGGCTATAAAGATCCTTAGACAGGGATACTACTGGTTAACCATGGAGGGTAATTGTATCGACTTTGTTAGGAGATCCACAAATGTTAAATCCACGATAATAGCATGAATATCCTGCCAATAAAACTCTATAACATGACTTCGCTTTGGCCTTTCTCAATCTATGACATAGACATTATCAGGGCAGTCACACCGAAAGGTTCAAATGGACATCAGTTTATTTTGGTTGCCATTGATTATTTTACCAAGTGGGTTAAACCACAGTCGTTTTCAGTGTTAAAAGCATCATATGTGGCCAAATTCATTAGGACTAATATCATTTGTAGATATGGAGTGCCAAATGAATTAATTTCAGACAATGGCTCACACTTCAGAGGAGAAGTGGCAGTTCTACTTGAGAAATATAATGTGGCTTTTCACAAGTCATCAACTTACAGGCCACAAACTAATGGAGTCGTTAAAGCTGCAAATAAGAACATCAAGACTATTCTGCGTAAGACGGTAGAAACCTATAAAGATTGGCTAGATAAACTGCCTTTTGCGCTTTGGGCATACATGACATCAATTTGAACATCTACAAGGGCAACCCCTAATTCTTTGGTATATGGAATGGAGGTTGTTTGGCCGATCGAATTAAAAGTGCCTTCATTGATGATTATGGCTAAATGTCATATAGCAAAAGCTGATTAGCAACATAACCGATTTAAGGAGCTGGTGATATTTGATGAGTGAAGATTGAAAGTGTTATACCACATTTAAGGGTATCAACTTAGGATTGCCAAAGCATTCAACAAAAAGAAAGAAAGGAACTTAGTGTTGAAGGATAATCGAGCTCCTATCCATAACCCTAGGGGCAAGTTCAGGCCCAATTGGACAGGTCCCTACATGCATTTGGATGGTTTAGAGTTCTCGTACCAATCAACATGGACAAGCTAAAGAAGTATTATCCTTGAGAGGCTTGCTGGGTTGAAAACCCGAAAAGGCGGCCCAGGCAAAAGTTAGAGCATAAAAAAAAAAAAAAAAAAAAAAAAAAAAAAAAAAAAAAAAAAAAACTTGCAAGGTCGAAAACCTGAAAGGACGGCTTTGGAAAAAGTTAGAGCACAAAAGGAGAGTGTTAATACCCAAGTGAACCTTAGCTAGAACTACGTATGGTTTAACCTCTTCGGAGGTTCATTACCAGGACATTACATCTCTTTCATGCTAAGCACAACTTCTTGTTTGACACTTCTCTTCATTAGTGGACGTAATTATCACTTTTGGACAAATAAATAAAGAATAGCAAGGTAATGCAAAAGAGGTTAAAATTGGAATAAAAATGGTAAACAAGAGTAATAAAATTGGTTTGGGTTCATCGGATGTTATATTAAACATATTGTGTCTCGAGTCATTACATACTTTTTAGTGATGTTAAGGATTCGACAAGCAATGTCTACCACTACCCTTGAGGTAACTCCATGATAAGGAGATGGTTTTGTTGGTCTTTAATTTCCTTTTATTGATCTTTTATCCTATCGATTCATAGATCATCGCGCAACAACTTAACAACAATTGATGGTTTGTGAATCGAGTCTACTCCTCTCTTGATCAGTTTCATGATAGGGAGATGCAGAAAGGACAAACATCCCCTGGAAACACTCTATTTTTGCTCTGTTTCATTTCTATGGCAGCAAGGTAGTACCCAAAACAGTGGCCGGCCGATCATCTCCCAGTACGGCCGACCACTTTCCAAGGTCGGCTGGTCACCCTATTTTGTGCAAGCTTTGTCAGTCTCACGGAAAAATAGAGCAAAAGTTGAGGCAAAACAAATTAATTTTCTGACTGCAAGCAGAACAGTTTCTCGGAGCAAAACAGAGAGGTTTCCAGGAGGATGTTCTTGATTGCGCACATGTGGCTCCTCGTCTCCCATTCCATTAAATTAGTGCTTTAATGTTTACGTAATAGCTAGTTAATTTAGCTTATTCAATTGTGTTGTAATAACTAGTTAATTAAGACATTCATTCGAACCCTCTTGTATGAGGGCACACTTGTAATATTGTGTATGTCTTCTAACCCCCATTTCTTTCTCCCTTTTATTTACTTACTTATGATGGTTGCATTCATGTTTTAGTTTCATATATCATTACCATGTATACAGTTTCCATTTTTGCATGCATTGGGTTCGGTTCATTACTCTAACTTTATTGTTACCATTTCTTACTTACTTGAATACGTATGCTAAATGCATGCTTTGAGTTGAGCCATGTGTCATTTTTAGAAACCAAACCTAGTAGTTGCATTTTATATGTGTTGCATTAGTCACTTGCATATTAGAACATGCATTTTTCTGACAATTTTCTCCTATTTTGACTTGCCTCAGTTGAGTATTAGATGAGGATTTCTCGCTTTAGCATATTGCATGTATGTTAGTGTTTCCATATCAAGCATATTACCATGAGGCTAAGTGCTTATTTGATATACCTCTTGAATACTTGTGAATGAAGGCTAATTTGCTTAAGTTAGGATGCATTTGATTGATGTATGTATGAGCTTGCTTTTTCAAAGTGGCACATAGTCAAAAGACTTTTCAAACAAACATGAAATCAAAGCATTCCAAAGTGAGTGACTTAATCTATACTTATGTGCCTCACATAGTAAGTTAGCATTAATAATCGAAACAAGAGCATATAATGTACATAAACATCACATCATGATTAATAGAGGTAGATCTTTGATCAGGTGAGTGGGATGCTCAATTCATGACATTCCCCTCTCATACCTAAGTTCTCGAGCTGAGACACTTTGGTAATGACAGACAAGTGGCCTTTGGCACGAGTCATAGGTTTCCTAAATTTCCCAAAAATATTTAGGTGGTGAGTTTGAAATCTGGCAATGCAGTTTATTTTTGGCATCTCTGATGATTAAATGGATTTTTCTAAGATCTGTCAGATTTGGGCTCTCATTTGTTTAATCTATTTTACATTGCACTTGTGAAAACCAGATTCAGAACCATAGGAGTCCGTACTGTAGGGCTATCCAAGGAGACTAAACTCCTCTGAGGAGCACGAAAAGCAAGCTACACCGACCAACATAATGGACGGCCAGCTGGGAAAGGTAGCTAGCCGGCCAAGACCTGTGGCTAGATAGCTGTCACCCACCCACACCTTATCTTTTATAAAGGTCTTCTCTTGTTCTTTCCTTTAACAGAACATCATATTTTCTGTAATTTTCTCTAAAAATGAAGATTTTTCTTATTGAGAGGCTCAAGGATTGGACGGCCACTTTGGATGGCACGAAAAAGGTAAATTTCAACGATTTTGGCATAAACGCTCTTTTTTCATTAAGTCGCACGTCGCTTTGTTTTCCGTTCCTTCATGCCGCTGTTCGATGTTGGAACCCGGTTACTCATGTGCTTCGCTTCGAAGCACAAGAGATGTGTCCTACTCTCGAAGAGTTTCAAGCATTAATGGAGTTCCGGCACAATGAGGAGATTATGCCTCAACCTCATTTTGGCCATGCAAAGGCTCTTGAACAAATGTGTAGGCTTACTTTACATGAGGCTGGGTCCTTGTCTCATAATGGGGAGTTGGATATACCTGGCTTGATTCATCAGTTTTTCGATATTGGAGACAGAGGTGACCTTCTCTAACGAGGTTATCGTCAACATGCCCTCTGCTTATGTTTGCTTGCACACTTCTTACTTACCCCTAGTTGCAGCGGAGCTAGCATTAGGTTGATCGAAGTGGCCCAAAGTCTCAGGGAGGCTTAGAGTTGCATAGGTTTGGCGTTGGTCGAAACTTTGATGGGTTTAGATACCTCTATTAGTGTGAGACTTCTCGATTTGTGGGGAGTCTATTGTTTCTCTAGGTATTATTTCCCACCCTCTCTTATTTATGATTTCTTACGTCACTTTGGCACCCACTCTCTATTTTCTCTCAAACCCCTTTCCTTATTCTTTCTCTCAACATACATCTCTCTATTATTTAATCTCTCTTATTTTTTATCTCTTCCCAGGTGTGGTTGATGGATAAACTGAAGGTCGTAGACCCTTGCCCCAAGTATTTGGCCAGATCCTACTTCTTTCACCACGGCTAATGGACTTTCCCACAGAGGGATTATGGTGCGACTGGATGTGCAACAAATTTACAGATGGCATTGTTTGGCGTTGCTCCTAGCTTAATTTGACTAAGATGAGTTATAGCATGTCTCGCCAGCCGGGTATACAGTTGATCGGCCTTACACACTACGTATTCTATTTTCCATTCCGGTTCAGACGCCAGTTTGGACGTGAGCAGTACCTTCCAGATGAGAGGGTTAAATACCCTGCTCCATGTCCAGTCCGTGCTTCGCTACTGGCTCGATGCCTCACTTCTTGGAGAACAAGAGAGCTTCTGGCCCCTGCTGCTAGCTTCAGTTACACCCTTTCTGGTGAGTGCTTGGCTTGGCTTAAGGACGAGGCACAGGTTAGGCCATCCTTGGCTATAGAGACCTCCGAGGGTGCAAGCAAAAGGCAGAGGACGATCACCTGACTTATCCGTGCCCCTAGTTTATTACTTTGACTTTTCTTCTCTCGTTTTCTATGATGTAAAAGCAATTTTGATTTAACTCGAGAGTTGGAGGATGTACATGTGTTTAAATCATATAATTAAAGTTATGAGTACTGAAAATTTTCCTTTTTGGTCCAAAGAATGGTCTGTGTTGCAAAAAAGTGAAATTTTGAGAAAATCAACATCGTTAAAACTTTCCAAAACAATTTTCGGAAACGGTCATTACCTGGCACACATGGAATCAATCCTTAAAACATACAATCCCAAATCAAAAGGATCATAACTACCCATAACTGCATTCACCATCACTGCTCCGTTTTGCAACTGTCATTTCTACCAAATGGAGGTAACACAACCAAGCTAATAGATAACAGAAAAAGATTGTCCGATCAAACAAATGGACAGGATAGTTGAGTGGAAAATGGTTATGGCCAAACTTCGGCATAAAGTTGCCTACGTATCCCAAAGATGGGAATCAGGCCTTACGCAGTTCGGTTTGGTTTCACGCGAGTATTAGCTCTCTCCTTTTGCGCTCTAACTTTTGCAAAAGTCGCTCTTTCGGGTTTTCATCCTTGCGAGCTCTATTTTTCTTTATTTCCAATTTTTCATGCTCTAACTTTTGCCTAGGTCACCTTTTCGGGTTTTCGGCCTAGCGAGCCTCTCAAGGATAGTATTTCTTCAACTTGTCCATATTGATCGGTTGCGAGAACCCCAAGCCATCTAAATCCATAAGGATGATCGCTCCTCCCGGCCAGATAGATTTAATGATATAGAAACTAGTCCAATTGGGTCTGAACTTACCCCTGAGGTCATGGATGGGAGCTCAGTTGTCTTTGAGCACCATATCTCTTTTTTGAGGTTTCTGGATTTGACTTTCTTGTTGAAGGCCTTGGCAATTCTACGCTGATATCCTTGGATGTGATATAACGCCTTCAACCTCCTCTTGTCAAACAACATCAATTCTCCGAAAGTATTCTGTTGCCAATCTGCCTCTGTTATCTGACACTCAGCCATAATTCTCAGCGACGGTACTTCGATCTCAATCGG